ACAGGCTATGCTCAGCAATCACATGAAAAACCAGTGCCAACACTGGTGTCAGTATCAGTGTGTCGTCTTTATTTTGAGAATCATCAGAAATGAACACGTAAACCAATGGTTCAGTCAGAGAAGTTCAAGTTCTGCGGCTAAGTGACGCTGTTGTGAAGGGTTTCATGATAATTGCACACAGTAAACAGGACAGTAAACCTTTTTATTTTATTTTATTTAACGCTACAGATGGTTGTCCTTATGGATTGCGGTTTCTTTGAGCTGGAAGAAAATCCAGCAACCGCTGTCTGTGAGCACAGATAGAAATGTGTCATAAAATGTTTTTCTGTCTATGACACACACACACACACCCAACCTTGCACAATGACACACTAAAATTTTGGATGATCAGCTTTCTGCTGCTTTAATTTCTCTGCATGGTCAAAGAGCAAATAATAAAACAGACACTGATAGGTTCGATTGTGCCAAAGACAAAGAATAGCTGTGCCTCAAGGATACAGCCATCCTACAGAACTATAGACACCAAAACGATGAAAATCCAAAAATTCATGTATGGAACTAACACAACTAAGAATTCACCAGATGAGCTCGTTCATGCCGTTTTCTGTCATCATGCCCCCTCCTCAGCCCCCGGGAAAGACAAGGTCACTGGTGAGCTTTTCACTGAAAACACTAGTGAACTGTTCACTAATTACAAACTGCAGTCACGGCCTTTACTGACATAACTGTTCACTAATTACAAACTGCAGTCATTAAATTCATGCAGGCGGAAAATTCCAGTTCAGGTCCGAAATTTATTGGATCAAGCAATAAACGGCACGTCCTATAAGAGCTACTGAGGCAACTAATATCCAGTTAGTGTTTGAAGTTGGAAAAACACCAGACCTTTGGTGCCATCTCGTGGTCGAAAATTTTAGCACGTGCATTTGTGAGTTACCTTACACGCAACCGGATAGTCAATCTCAATTGTTTGAGTAGAAAAACGGTTTTATAGGAGTTGTAGTGTTTTGAATTACAGGAGGGGCTGGGGACAGATTTATCACTGACTGTTTTTATTGTTCTCAACATCTCAACAATTTAAAATCAACCTGGGGTTGGGGTCTACACTTCATCTTGTACCACTGTCTTTTGTCAGGGAGAAATGTGAGTCAATCCCAGCAGTCTCCAGGAGAGGACAGGGTTATGTTATTCACAGTTCTCCAACATCAGGGTGAGACAGACATTTACACACTGTATTCACACCTACAGTTAATTCAGAGTGAGAAATGAACAGCTATCCTGCATGTTTTAGAGTGTAGTAGAAAACTGGAATACAGATTTCATACAGAAAGACCACCAATTACCACAGGAAATCGAACCAGCGATCTACTTGCTGTCAGGCAGAATACCAATCACTACACCACAGTTAAGCCTTTAGCACCTCAGTTCTGTTATTTAGTCAGACAGAACACAAGATGGTTTTTGAACGAGCATTTGAATCTTTGGGGCATGGAGGAAGCATGCATTTTGGGTTAAGAGTAAAAAAAACGTTTGCAGGGAAGAATATTGAGTAATGTGTATGTAGTCCATGTTAAATGATATTAACAACTGATAACTAAAAAAAAAGAGAGAGCGCTGCTGGGGCGGTGGGAAAAGAAGAAACCAGTGAGTGTGTAACATCTGCAGGACTGTGCAGCAGCCGTCGAGGTCACCTTAAACATCAACACTCCATGTGCACATGCTGTTTTAGGAGGAGTGACCTCATCACTTCAGCGCTACACTCTTTTATTGCCCCCCCCCCCCCCCCCCTTTTTTTTTACCTTCCCGCCGAAAGTCACAGACTGAGCAGCACAGACAGGCTCACACAGGGGTAACGGTCAACATTTGCTGCTGTTTGAAATTAAATCCCCTCCCACTCCCTTCACCCCTGTCCTGCTCCCCAAATTCTCCCCCCACACCTACCTTCCTGTCCCCTCCCCTCAGGCCCTCCTGCCCCAGTCAAATCATTTTGAGACACGTTCCCTCCAACACTGGCATCCGTGAACTTTGTGGGATTTACGATACCCATTTCCAGGGCTCCGTAAATTGGAGGCCACAATGAGTATGTGTTTCTGAGTGTGTTTGCACGTGTGTGCTAATAAGAAGTAGCCAACATTTGATTTAGAACTGCTGTTCAACAGTGGCACCAATAACGGCCCCTCTGTCGATTTAACACTGAGAATTGATTGGCGTTTTTTTTTTTTTGTTTTTGCAACTCATGCAAAGAAGGAGTGAAAAAAATCTCTCCTGACAAAAGGACTACACATTAGGAGAGACCCTGCTTTACTGCATCCTGTTCACGTCTCTTCCTGCTGCTGCTACTTTACAACTGAAACGGGGTTCTCAAGCTAAATCAATGCTGCTAACGGCGGTGGAAGAGCGATAACTCTTCGAAGATTTGCTTTTCAGCAGAGCCGTAGAAGACAAACCCTTTAAATAATGCAGGGCGACCTTCAGAACGGTACAAATTGCTCCAGGAAGAGATGAGGTTAAAGATGAGCAAGACTCTGGTCAGACTCCAGAATCTGACCAGAATCTCATCTGTCACATATTTTGTCAATAAACTGTAATTTCTCTAAAGCTCTACTCACAGCAGTCCCAGCATTCACTCAAACCTGGTATCAAACAGGGATTTACTAACTAGACTGAAGGAGTGCATTCACTCCGAGTTCAAACGACTCTTCAATGTACGCGCTTTTTTCCCCAGACTCCATCCTTCAACACTTTAAGTAAACTTTAAACAAGGGCTGTCAAATGATTAAGATTTGAACCTTATTAATCAAAGCGCAACTGTGGATTAATCAATTCATCGTATAGAGCTAATACGCTGTATAATTTATGTGCAAACCAGCAGTCCACAGAGCAGCTACTGCATTGTCAAGCTGCCACAGCAGATGTACACGACAGTTCAATTCTATAAACAAGTAACGCAGCTGAAGCATCGAGGGCCGGCACTAAATCAAATCAGAGACTCTAGTGGTGGAATTGTTTTGCAGATTTTCTCTTTTTAGAGTAATGCAATTTTGTTGCTGAGTTTTCTAGGTTGGGTTGTTGCCCTGTGGCACAGACGAGCATTTTTATCATATACTTGAAATATGTAGCCACGCTTGCAGTCAAATAGGACTCTAAAAATTGTGTCTGATTAATCACAGAGCAGCTGTGTTATTGTAATCTATAAAAATAAATCATGATTCACTGGGACAAATCAACATTTTGTCTGCATGTTGCTGGAACACCAGAAGTTGAAGCCCTCACTCAGACACACTGGGGAGACAAGATCATATTTTGAGCTTAAGAACAATTTCTCACAATGTGTGTAAATAACCACATGTTTATTGACTGTGTTAGAGCAACGACAAGTGAAGTTGTGGAAAGTTACTGCCGTGTCATTCTGCATATTTGTTAAAAATGTGACCCCTACTTCCATGACATGCATAAACCTGTAGTTAACATTAAACTAGAAGAGAATGTGAAACAGAAAACAGAAAACAAAAGTAGATTGTTGGATGAGGTGCAGAGCTTTTTAACGACACCTGACAGCAAGCTGTGATTAATGGAGACTCAGCACTAGCACAAATACCTAACTGGCCAACAGTCTAATGAATGTCCTAGTGGACCATCGTGGGCGCTGTGCTGCAGCTGTGCCCACTGTAACAGACACAGAGCTGCTTTTCTCCCCCTCTCTGCTCTTCAGCAAAGCTCATCTGGAGTCACAGTGAGGGGCCAATTGCCCATCTCAACACCCACTGTTTGACTTCAGTGTTTGATAGGGGTCTGTGCAAGGGAGGGTGGAGGGGCAGCGGTGAGGAAATGGAGTGGAGGGGGGGAAGGATGGGGCCATAACAGGGACAGGGGTATAACGGGGTACAAGAAGTGGCATCAAATTACAAGAATGTTTTTTTTTTTCCTCCTTGTACCATTTAGCTGCAGCTCGCTTTACTTGACTTGCTGTTGCTGCTACTTTTCTTTCCTTTGTCTGAGAGGGTGGGGCTTTTTTTATTTTATAACAAGTCATTTAGCATACCTTCTCCAGTGGTTCCAGATGTGTGATTTACACTGAGCATGAGAACTACTAGCAGAAAGAGAGCTGACAAACGTTAGGCAAGAGGATGCTCAAGTTGCAGGGGACTGAAGGGGGGGGGGGGGGGGGGGGTAGGAGGTCTGCATGTGTGAAAAGTTTCCTGAGGATCCTGTGGTGTCTCCACTGGTTGTTGATTGATGGTCATGCTGAGTAAGGAGGGAGAGGGGTTGCTGTTCCACTGAAAATGGATTAATACTATTAACATAAGAGTAGAGAGAACCTTTGTTTTGACCATAACTATTCAGCCCTCTAGTCTATCTCTTTAAGCCCATTAAAGCCCAGAGTGTCAGGGGCTATTGTCAGAGATCACCTTTCATTGTGGGGTGGATTACTGACCCTATCCACACTGGCCTACAGTTCAAGCAGACACTGGATATACAAGGAATGAGCCTTTATAACACATGCATTTTCAGTGATTTTCAAACCCAGAACACACACACACACACAGAGTGCAGAACACATCTAACATTTGATTATGGCATTTGATATCTGTGTTGATTCTGAAATGCTGCAGGTATTTAAAGAATGCTGCATTAACTTTTCTTATTTAAAACATACTTTACACCCCAACAAGCCTCCGCTCTCCTCCTTCCCTCCCGTTTCTTTTTGCAGATACTGTAGGTGGGGGCACAGGAGGAAGGGTAAAAGTAACCATTGCAAGACATGGGTGTAGGGCTGGGCCTTAGTAAAGAGAAGAAGGCCGAGGGTAGGGGTGAGTGTTGGGGTGGGTGGTGGGGGGAGATGGGGGGGTGCTATATAAAAACTGACAGAACACAAGCAGTGCTTTATCCACCCTGTCCTGCTCGGTGTAAGAGGAAACCCCAAACTGCTCAGGCTCCAGCC